ATCAGTGTGTTTTTGTACCTTTATTTTGGGCTGGCATCTTGATGTTGGACTGTCATCCAAATCTTCACTTTGGGTCTCATATTTTATTTCCTAAAGATGTTTGAGGAGTTCTGTCTATTGTGATTTGCTTCCAAAATTTGCAGAGAATAAAAGATTATTACAAATTGGGACTTGCACTGTCTTTGCCTAGAATGGGAAGGGACAATGTATAGACCACATGTACCCACCCCCACTATCTCCTGGTATAGCCACCGCCAACATTTGTATTGCAGCGAAAATATAGCTGAATAGGCTTTTCAAACTAAACATAATAAAACTTAAGTATCTGTAACTGTGTGCATGTTCACCTCGTCACACCAACTGCATAAATAATAAAATAAGGAGTGATGCTGCAGTGACAGCAGCATCACCTCCAGGGCTACTGATGCCAGGTCTGCCTAGGTGCTCCACTGCCTGAATGCTTATAGAAGGAAGCACAGATGCCTTAGATGAAGAAAAAGTGGGCTGAAGAAGAATCTTTAATTACATGATGGAATAAGCATAGGTGTATGGTGTGTGCACATTCAGAAGGAAGTGGCCAATGGTGCAGCTAGCTAATTTTAGACCCTGGACTACTTAGTGATCTTAGGGAGAGTGGGGCAATTTTATACAACCAGATGTACTACTGCTGTTGGGAAGGACACAATTAGCGTTTCACTTCACTCCAGCCAACCATCATGCCATGTCTGACAGGTGCATCTCTATTCCCACTAAGTCAGAATACAGGAGAAATTGTCTGCTGTTGCCACCACCATCTGTCCATGACAGTGATCTGAGCACGTGCCCTTTCTGCATTGAAATTAACCAAAAGCACCGCACCATCAGGAATACAAGAATGGAGCAGTTTGCTTCAGCCATCCTCACTTTTCACTGAGTGATCATTTTGGGAGCCCCCAGACTGTAGAATCCTGGACTCTGAACCCGAAATTCAGTCCCTGCTGCAACACTGGTAACGGGAGACCTACCAGGAATGATGGCGAAAAGAATCAGTAAAGGGAGGTGTCTTAGCCTCCGCCCCCGCCACACCCCCTTCCGTTCTCTTCCTGTTTTCATAATATTTGAAACTCACATAGGATGCGCGGCTGAGCTGGTGAGAGGCGCATGAGCGAACGAAAGCCCAGGGAGAGCGCCAAGGGAGGAGGGTACCTGAGACAAGCACCGCGTGCGGGCGAGCTGGCAGGCTGCCTCTCCTCCCCTGCCCCGAGTCGCGGAGATATGAGGCCTCCGCAGCCGCCCGCGCTTCCCAGCAGCTTGAGCGTTGCTATGGCAACCCTGGCACCGGCCGTCTGCGGGCTGTTTGTTGCATTTTGGTCACAACATAAAGAAATAGAACGGGGTGGGGAGGAGAGGCCGGCTCTGATGCAGAGGGGAACTGACCCCCCCTCACACACAGACACACACACATTTCATTTGGCGTCCCACGCAGCAGCCCGAGGAGCACGTTGGTGAGAAAGTGGGCTGGCTGGGCAATAGGGGACCGGGGAGGGATGGGAAGCTGGGGGAAGACGGAGGCCGATCCGGTTGTGGCGGCCAAGTGGGTTCACTGCAGGTTAAGTCGCGGTGTGCGAAGTCCGAAAATGCCTCGCTGCCTGTCTGTCCCCACGCAGAAGAGCTTTCATGCGCACCCTGGCAACCACGCTTGTATGAAATGCAAAATGAAGACGGTGAGATGGAGAAAAAACTGGAAGGGGGTGCAGGGGACGCTCTTGGCTGCTCTTCCTTCCACGTTTACACAGTTCAGCTGAAATGTAGCTGGTTTCTTACCTTCTGTGTAACTCAGCTAGTTAGGCAGACAGGATGCCAGCCAAGTGGCTTGAGCTCTTCTCTTGCCCCAGACTCCTCCTTTTGTTGCCCTCTTTGACCGGTCTCGGAGATCAGTTCCCCAGCCTTGGAGAGCAGCAAGTGTAGTTCTTTCCATGTCATATGCAAGGGGGAGACGGACCGGTGCTCCTAAGAATCCATGCTGTCTTCAGACAGCATCTAGAGACCCTAAGATCATTCTCTTTGGGAATAATCCTCTGCATGTTCAGATAGAAAAGTCCTAGCACTCCCAGCATGCCCCAGTCTGTATAAGATTGTGCCCTTAAAATATGTGTGGCCTCTAGCAGGGGTAAAAGTAGGTGTAGAAAGATCTGGGGTCAGGCTGATAGGAAAAAGCATAAATTTCTATGCGCTAATTATATATGCAGATGAGTGTAGTTAGAAAAAATTCCTGTAATTTAGTTTTTGTAAAAGGGAAGTTAATTAACCTCTTGCTTTCAGGACAGAAATGTGCTTGTGTATAATTTATCCGTATGTGCCCACACTTTTCCTTGATCTTTCAGGCCAAATGTAGATGGGAAGGTTGGTGCGTCTAGGACTAGCAATGAGCTGTATGGCACCTTAAACAAAATGAATTGCCAAGTGAATGTGGCAAAGTGAACATGGCAAAATGAACATGGCATACTGGCAAGGGAGAATGTGGGAATCTATAGGAATCCATGCTGTTGGGTTGTAAACTTGCATAATTACTAAAGAGCAATCCCATTAAACATTGTGTGATTTATTTCTGAGCTAATCCTCATTTGCTCACCCCAGCAAGCATAACAGCATCATATGAAAACCTTAGAACATTTTTGGCCAAGTGGATAAAGCACTGTGTGTGGGGACAGGGTAGACTGTGATGACTTTGGATACTGGTAAGCCCTCAGGCTCACCCCCTCTCCCCATTGCTGTTCCTCCAACATGCTCCTTTTCCTTCTCTCCAAAGGCCAATTTGCAGCCTTTGAGAGATAGCCCAGTGCAATTCCTTGTGTACCAGCTGTGAGTGGCACAAGGTGAGAAGCTAGAATAATCTGATGGCTCACTAGATGATGCCAGGAGTCCATAGTCTTGCACCTTAAAGTTATCACTCCTTAGGTTTCTCCCTAGATCCAGATATTGGAACCATCTTCAGTGTGGATAAGGCTAATTAGAGCCCTGAACACATAAGTCTCTAATCCTACATACCTGGGAAAAGAAACCATTTATTCAGTATGACTTTTGAGTAAACATGTTTAAGATTGTTCACCAAACTTGATTCATTCCACAACGTATTTCCCCAAACACAGATCTCTCTGTACCCACAATTGCTTCCCTACCTCACAGAATTTCAGCTACTTTTCCCCTACTCTTCAGGTCTCTCTAATCATTCTGGCACCAAGACATTTTGCTACCTGAGATAAAATCCCAGATAAGGTGCACAGTAGTACTGAGAACCAGTCAAGTTATTTTGGCTCCTGAGGGAAGCTATGCTTTGCAGTGAAATGCAATAATACATTAAATAATGAATAATTTGTTACTTTTTCATGACATCTCAAATCTGAGGCAGCTACCACAGGATCTAAAGGGTATGCATGTGTTCTTAAATAGCTCTGCCTTGTAAGGACATCCCTATTTGTCAAAAGAGATGTATGGACAGGAAAGAGGGTATTTGATGTCATAAAATGAAATCAGGAAAAGATTCAAGGGAGGCAGCAGGGAGGGAAGAACATGTGGACAACATGTGTAATCAGATGCAACAGAGATAATGAGGGCTCCTATACCATTATTTCAGGAAATCCCACAAGTTACATGAAAAATAACTTTCAAAATAACTTCCTGTTCAGCAGACTCCTGTGTATGAAAGTATATTATGTCACAATAAATCTATACGACTTTAATATGTCAAAAGACATTGCTGCTTTTAAACACAAAAGAACAAGAAGCCCTTGTTCTCCCACATCTGTTCAGCTTCCTCTACTTGATGCCAAGAACACCCATGTACCCACCAGAATCTAGCCACATGGATCATGCCAAAAGCAGGCGCATTCAAGAAAAAATGACTGCAGTGCCAAGCAGCTCCAAATGTAAGCAAGAGCAAGTTGTACACTCAAACATTATTTTAACCCAAATTCAGATATTGCTGCTCATTCAAAGTCTTTTTACAAGCTACCTCACTTTTATTTTCCTCTAAGGTAAGGAACCTGGGCCAGTTTGGACAAAGTAACAGATGAGGAAGCTCTTTAGCTCTCCATTTGTTGTGTAAGCAGCCAGTGTACTTGCTGTTCCTTTTCTCAGGGGGCTGCCTACAGTGCCTCAGGTCACAAGTGCAGTTGCCCAGTAGCAGTTGGCTGGGTAGATCTCTGCAAAGTCAGGCATATTCCAAGAAAGCTGGCTGAAAGTAGTGTTGTCAGACAACTTTGGAATTATTTTTTTTATTTTATTTTTTTATTTATTAAAACATTTTTATTAAATAAATATTAAATTAATAAAAAGAATAAGCAGATTGTAGAAACCAAGATGGCAGTCTCCCTTCTAGTTTAAGAGGCCAATCTCTTCATGCTGCACTTTAAGTCTGCTATGGAGGTGAATCCTAAGGTCTCCTAACAACTGCAAAGCTACCAAGTTAAGAAGGAAGAAACATGCTTTAATTAAAGCAAATTATAGCAACTGAGGCAGCTCTTAAGATGCTTAGCTCATGCTTAGCTAGGTCTCTTATAACATTGGCCATGCCTACTAAGAAAATCAATTTCGTTTTTGCTAAAAGTAGGAGAGGCAGAATTGTCAAAGTAGCAGCTTTGACAACCCCAGTACCCAAAAGAAAGAATAAGAAAAGCTACAAAAATATGATCACCCCTTAAATCCCCGGTCCTCTCTGAGACTTTTATGCACATATTTCACTACTTGGTAGAATTGAGATTAGTACTTCTACATTGCAAAGGGCAAAGTTCTTCTTTTGATCTAGAAAGTGATTGTACAATGCCTAATATATTTAGAATGTTCATTTGCCTGCATTATCTACTTTCTCATAGCTACATACTGTGTGGAGTGTGTGTGTGTGTTGGTATCTTGCTCTTCTGTAAAACAAAAACAACAAACAAACAAAATCTGGTTGTTTTCCAGCCAATTATTTGATAAAGATTTTGTAGATATCTGGTTTTGTCCAAGTGATTTCTCATCAAATGGAAGGAAAGTGGTCTTCCACAGAAATTGGTGGTGGTGGTGATAACCTTCAGAATGCACAACACAAAAGGAGGAATGATTCTGCTTCTGATTCATCAACATCAAGATGCATCCACCAGCCTCTTAAGAACCTTGTCTCTAATTCATCAGTCTCCCTGGATTTAAGTAGAAAGGATCTCCAGTATCTAACTGAGGATATATACAAGTTATTTAATCTTAAAGTAAGTTTCTCCTATAGTATAAACAGTTGTTAAAATAGCTAACCACTAAATGACAGCCTTAGTATACAGTTTTGACCCCACTTTTTTAAAGCTTGGAATAGAACATCGTAATTCAATGCATAATTTACATTTCATTATTTCTATACCCCTTATAATCCAGAACAATGTACTTGAATACCTTTCAGAAAATATTTTACATATTTTGGGTATTTCTGAAGAATTCATGTTGCATGAATGGTATACCAAGCATTAAAACATAATGGCATAATCCATGTGTATATATATACATTTTTGTTTTAGCATCTGCATTTGGAAGGAAATGCCCTGACTGTAATTCCTGAGGATTTCTTTCAGCATCTGCCAAAGCTTGTTTGGCTAGATCTGCGGTACAATGAATTTACAGAGCTTCCCCCTGGAATTGGATGCCATAAGTAAGTCTCCTGCTTTCTTCAGCTTTTTCAAATGATTCTGTTTGTTGAACAACACTTACTCATTATGAAATTGCATATTATTCCATTTTGCTCCTAATTGACCCAAGAAATTGGAAGCATAATTCACCTCAAAAAATTTAGTGTAAGAAAAATGGTTTAACATTGTTGACTAAGGGCCAAACTACACTATATTCACGTCCTTATGCTATCTGCTTTAATTTTGAAGAAAATCGTCCCTGGCTTCCTGATACAGAACATGCTCCCAGTTGTTGTTGGGTTCCATACCCGTTTCCAGCTGATAATTTAGACATTTTCTGATACAGAAAAATGTTATTATACTAACATCTCCAACCATTAACTGATGAGTCCCAGCTATATCACCTAGCATCCAATAAATTTCATCAGCTGCGCCCCTACCTGGAGTACGACTGCCTCGCAACAGTGACACATGTGCTGGTGACTTCCCGTCTTGACTTCTGTAACACGCTCTACGTGGGGCTACCCTTGAAGACGGTCCGGATACTTCAATTGGTTCAAAATAGAGCTGCCAGGCTGCTGATGGGGACTGGGCGTTATGTTCACATGACTCCAGTTCTCCATCAGCTTCACTGGCTTCCCATTGAAGTCCGGGCCCAATTCAAGGTGTTGGTGATGACCTATAAAGCCCTAAACGGCTTGGGTCCTGGTTACCTGAAGGAGCGCTTACATCCATATATGCCCGGCCGCCCCTTAAGATCGGTGGGAGAGGCCCTTCTCTGGGAACCCTCCGTGAAAGAAATTAGGAGGGTGGGTACTCGGAGGAGGGCTTTCTCTGCGGTGGCGCCTAAGTTATGGAATGTGCTCCCCAGAGAGGTCCGCCTGGCGCCGTCGTTATTTGTTTTTCGGCGCCAGGCGAAGACCTTTTTATTTAAGCGGCATTTTAATTGTTAATATTATTGGATTTTATCTGGCCAGGGCGGCTTATTTTATATTGGTATTTTTGTATTTTTAACTTAATGTTTATATTTTTTTAATTTAATGTTATAATTATTTTTTAACTTATTGTTGTAAGCCGCCCCGAGGCTTCGGCGAATGGGGCGGCATAAAAATGTTTTAATAAATAAAATAAATAAATAAAATAAATTTGACATTTCTCTATTTTTTGGTAATCATAATTCATTAATCAGATAATTCTTGAAAGTTCTTATGCTTCTACTTGTTTGAAATGTTATTGCTCTAACAGCGACATTGGACAAATAAATTAAAGAATTAACCTTTTTGCCATTTAATTAAGGTTGATTTTATATTTAAATGCTTGTTATTTTCTTATTTATTGAAAGGCAGTTGAAAACTCTGCTGTTAGAAAGAAATCCTATTAAAAGACTGCCTGTTGAACTTGGTAAGTACCTTTCCTCTCACAACAAATGCTTGAGGAAACCTAGCAATTTTTAGTAATTAGACTCTATTGTGAATGCCTGCTTGACTAATAAGGAACTTTGGTTACCTTTCATTATGATGTAAAGCATTTACTACTCGACACACTGTGGAATAGCCACAATTTAATTAATATATAATAATTGCAGACCAAAAGACCATAACTGTTAGGATCAGGATGCAATCTCATGTTGAATTCAATGAAAGATTCTCAGAGGCTGATTATTTTCTAATGGATTTTCTAGGGTAAAAGAAAAGATAGATGTCTTAGGAAAACATAGAAAGTTTATAAGCTGAAGTCAACAAACCAGGTACCCTCATGCATTTCAGATAACAAGTTTGGGTGATGGCCCCAGAAAAAACTCATCTGGAAGTACCATTGGACTGTCTCTTAGATCAAAAGAAGTGGAAACTGGAGTCCTGCTCATTTCCTACTTATACTAGTAGTGTAGGAATTGGACCCAGTCAGTCATTTAACATCAAGTCAAATGAGAATACCAGTTAAGTAACATTCAGTGCACCAGCAGAGGAGTCTACTAGCTTTTAACACATGGCCTACCTTTCTCTCTGGTACAGTCTCCTTTTCCCTGCACCCCCATCCCTGTGATATTATAGGAAAAAAAGGCATGTTTTACAACAGCAGTGTGTGGAGGGCTGGCCGTAAGGTACTCCAAAGCATTTTGGTACTCTCCAAACTGATATTAACTCTGGTTACCTGAAATTGCCCATTACTTTTGCATAAAGAATATTTCTTACTCAAAAGCAAATGCATGTATAGAGACTTTACAGTTAGTAAAAAGTATTATTGTAGATATTCTTCCTTAAATGTGTTTTTAATCCAGATACTTTTATTAATCCAAATTTGACAACTGCTGAGGAAAACAAGAATCATAGATAAAAGCTTCTTCGCTGAGCTCCTCCTGATATTTTATCTGTTCCACTTATTTTTATAATTAGCATACCTACACATTTTAATCTTTATTTAGTTTTATTTTATAAATAAGTTTTCTGCAAGGGATACCACATAATGGAACTATAAGTTCCTTAAATATTATACAAGCTTCCAGTCATGATACGCTGACCCCAAAGCAATGGGGAAGAACAAGAAATGCAACAGGTCAAGCCTAGGCTCACATACCCTACCCAAACTGTTGGTGTCCCTGCTAGCCAGGTGACTTACAGACCCCTAAACCAAATGCCAGTAAGGTTCAGCAAGGCGGAGATTCATTTCGTTTCGTTTATTCAGCTGAGCAAAGGCACCGGGTGACTGCTCCCACACGCAGGCAGGCAGCAACACACACACATTCCACCAACTCCTCCTTCTTATACCTTTTTTCCTTACTTTTTCTCACACAATCTCACCCCCATTGTTCCCTCATCCAATCACCTCCCAGGGTCTGCCTGACCCTTTGCCCAATCCCCTTGCAGGGTCTGCATGTTCACTGCATGCTTGCCCTCGTGCAGGCCCTTATCTTCATCCAATTCCTTTACAGGTGATCACTGCCTGCCAGTCCTTGCGTGGGGGGGGGGGGGTCTTCTCTCACTCACTGCCTCTTATCAACATTCTTTTGCCTTCACTTTTTCCTCTCCAAAGCAAGCAGTTATACAGAAAGCAAATGGCGTTTACCAAGCTTTCATGCAAGCAGCTGTTTACAAAAGCAAATAGCGTTAGTTAAGCTAAAACCAAATAACATTAGTTAAGCTAATCAGACTCCTTCAAAACCAACAAAACAACTAAAATTGATGACTTTATGATGGATGAGAAGACCACAAGTAATAACAACAAAACAAATCCTTTTTACCCGCTCACTCCTTCAATGCCAAATTTATATGATAGATGTGAGTGCTGTTGAATGGCTCCCTAGTATGACAGGACACAAACAAATCCTACTGTTTTTTTTAAGCATTCTACCATCCCCTGTATACTGTTTAAAATGAAACATTTTCTCTCCTCCTTTCAAATATATCCATTGTGTGTCTTTTGAGATGAAGAAAGAAATGCTTTTTTTGGCCTAACTTCTCAAGCAGATAATCCTCTGCCTTTTGCTATGGGCAGTGCACCAAATCATAAAAACCATAGCAACTCAGTACCCTCAGCATGCTTGACAAGATACTGCCCAAACGTAATGAATATATGTGAGAAAGAAATGGCACTGATTAAGCCCTAGAAACCGGGCTAATTAATTCCTTTCAAGCTCTGCCAAACAGTGAACAAGAAGAAATACTGAGATGATTAGATGAATTGAAACAAACACTGCTGTTGACTTGAGCAGCAGCAAAGCCCTTAATTGGTTTAATATCCTTGGATCATCAATCTGACTGCAACCCCTTAGAAAATCGTTATAAACTTCCTGAACTTGTAACCAAACAACTTTACAAGAAAACAACTTAAAGTTACATGGCTCAACAACTTGAATTCCTCCGATACAACCTCACTTCTGACTCTTCTTACTCTAATAAGGGCAAATTTAAGACACCCAGAAGCCATTTCCTTCATCTCCAGCCAAGAGAAGATAGGAAAGAATGCACCAGATACTATCCTAGCAGTCAACACCGGAGTACAGAGTGACTTGGAGGAGGCCCCTCCAAAGAATGGTTGTGTTTTCCCAGACACTGGTGGTGAAGAAAATGACTGCAGATTGACAACTACAGTTCCTATCTTGGAATCTGGGGGGGTTGGTGTAACAAGCTTTATGACTTCGATTTTGTAACATTCTTGCATGGTTTTGATGTGCTATGCTTACAAGGAACTTGACTCATGAACCCCGATGTATTCTGTCCCCACAATTAAAATTCATTCAAAGGGATGAGGAAGTGGCAGTTTGGCTACATTAGTATCAGTGGATCTAAATATAGACATCCAGGTCATAGGGAATAATTGCCCCAGTAACTTTCAGACCTCACTCCTAAAAGGTAAATTTCAGAAGCCTTTTATGTGTCTGTTTATATTCCACCTAGGAGTTCACTCCATCCCCGAAGGTGCTCATTTGGGGCATGTTGGACTGACATGTTGGACTCGCTAATATCTCGTTTCCAAAAGGCACATGTTATTTTATGTGGCAACTTTAATGTGAGAATAGGAGCGGATCATTTAGAGGAAGGAAATGGCCTGAATGTTCAGTGCCCCAGGCATGCCCAGCTTTTAGAACGACCTTCAGAGGACTTAGTAGTAAATAGGTCTGGGTTAAAATTCTTGGAATTACTCTCAATGTCTGACTGTCATTTATTCCATGGCACTTCTCTTGATCTAACTGCAAAATCTTTGGGGAGACATTAGGTCTCAGAAGTATGGGTGCCAACACATCACATGCTGGCTATCAACTGTACCCCAAGTAGGTGGTTTGGGGAAGCATTAACTGTTCGTGTTGCCTCAGGGCCTCTCTGCCTCTCTCCCAGTTGGATAAGATAACATTTTGTCAGCAGCTGGGCTGCTAGAATTCTACTTTGTCCCTGTCCAATTATGCCAAAAACCCAATTTTATCAGTAAAGTTCTAGCCCAATTATATGTATCTAGATAGTGTATTTTACCCATCCTTTCTTCCACTTGAGTTTTTGTGATGTGGGGACAAATGTACTTGTTTGTTCCCGCATCCCACATCAAATTATTCTTCAAGACAGATTGTTCAAGACATTGGTTTAAAACTATTTGGGGGGGGGGGGCAGGGAGTTATCATAATTAACTGGGAAAGTCTTTTGTTTAACAAAAAATAATACATATTTTATCAGCTGGCATTTTTAGGTTGTTAGCCTTTGAAATAGCAAGCCATCTTTAAAAAAAAAAAACTTTTTCCCAACTTTACATATAGGAGATATAGTGTTATACATCTAAATAAATAGAATCTATAATCCTAAGGTGCAAAGCATGTGCATGCGAAAGGGCCATATTTGTGCATCATTGGGGTTTTCTCTTAGCTTTCACACTGCAGGACACACATATATTTTTGCTTGAATTGAAGAGACATGCCATTTTGGGAGATACTTCCAATGGAATGTTTCTATATTTCCTTGCAGAAATGTATCTACGTACTCAGCATGTGCATACCTGCAACTAAGCACTTCAGAATTGTGACCAGTAACGTTTATTTTTTATCAGGCAAATATCTACTTTGTCTGATAAAACACAGTTTTATTCAGTTTTGGCTTACGCTTTTAAAAACATTTTAGTTTATACTATTTCATTTTCAGAGTTTGCTTAGTAGAAGTTGATTTTACAGACACATTCAGGCATAATTTCTGAGAATTCTGGCTTAACCTCAAGCAGTTTACTGAGGCATGTTACCTAATCATTTCCATTTTACCTTGCCTACTAGAAAAAACAACTAAACTTGCCAGAATTTGATAAAGAAACAAAAACTTCCTGTTACCGCCAAACTTGAATTCCTGGTTTGTCACTCTACCTATGGGAAAATTATTTATTTATTTATATTGTGATTTATATCCTGCCTTTTTCCTACAAAGGGCTCAAGGCAGCTTACATCTCCTACTCCATCTTATCCCCACAACAACAAGCCTGTGAGGTAGGTTGGGCTGAGAGTCTGTGACTGGCCCAAAGTCACCCAGTTGGCTGCATGGCTGAGCGGGGACTAGAACCCAGATCCTCTGAGTCCCAGTCCCATGCTTTTAACCACTACACCACACTGGCTCTCCAATTATGTGAAGCAATACACTTGTACAGTTAAGCCTGCTTCTAAAAGCAATCTGGATGTAGATCTAGAGAGGGGGAATGACTGAATGCAATGGTTGACATTTCTTGACTGTATTAAGATTTGTGTGTTTTGCTTTAAGGTTTAGGAACTTTGACTACCTCTGTCATTAGTGTTTCCAAGTAGTTTGTGTGTTGTTGTTTTTAATCATCACCAGCCACAATCTTATGAGTGCTCTTTCTTCCAAAACACTTTAAGTGAAATCCTTTTTCTCTTTTGGCAGGTAATGTCATTTCACTTACAGCCTTGAATCTCAGACATTGTCCACTGGAGTTTCCACCTCCTGAAGTGATACAGAAAGGTCTTCCAGTTATTATATCCTTCCTTCAAAAATGCCGTAATGCTGACTATACAGAACCTGTTACACCAGGTATTCTAATTTAATGCACTTTTTGGAAAACATGTATTTACCTGAGTAGGTAAAAACTGGAGAAGATGTGTTCATTCTTCATATAGTTTAGAAATCAGGAATGCTATACCTTAACCCATTATTTGAATTTTATAGAGCAAGGTAAAAAGCATTAATTTCAGTGTATCTTTTTTCAATCCTCCATTGTCATCTTAATATTAAGGAAAAGGAAGGTATCCAGTTAGTTAATCATTTCATTATTTCTGGGGAACTGAGTTATATTGGAGAAAGTTTGGCCATTTTTACTACTACACTACAACTCATACAAGGGTCTATGCTGGAACGAGGATAAAAATCCATTCATGTGCTGCTTTGGTGTCCTTCTTAGCAGTTGGCAGTTACACGTTTGAATCATAGTGTTCCCACATTACCCTTATGAGTATACTGAGAGTGACTTCCTCCCACAGAGTAATTAAAGGAGCCTACATTTGGTTTTTAATGGCTGCAAGTGGCTCTCAGTCTTTCAGAATGGGTTAGACTCTCAGTACTTCCTACATCAGCAATGTTGTTATTGCTCCCTTTTGTGGAATCACATTTCACATAAAGTTGCCACTGCTTGTGCACTACCTCCTGCCTTTATTGTTTCAGTAGCTCAGGATGATAAAGAAGGTGTTATTCCAAATTGTCAGTCTCAGTGCTCGTGTCTCTGATAGACTCCACCAGGAGCATTCAAAAAGGAAACCTAAAATGGTATTCTAGTTCAGGTCTATTTGTATGTAGTTATATATCACTTGTTCTAGTAGAATTTGAATAAAGATGTGTCCTTTTGAAAGCAGTGGACACTGTGCATGAATGACATCTATGTTCAGATTCATAGAGACATGGCATCCAGTTTACACTCATGGTTCCCTGCTCAGAGAGAGATTAGTATTTATGGCTGTAATGATCAGCCTCCCTGAGTTCCCACCTCCCAGCAGCTGGTAGCATTCTCCTTCCCACCCTGATTCCCTGAACCCCCAAATCCTGGGGGTCAGACACTGGATTCAGCACATGATAACCCAAGCCTGGGGAAAACAGATTTATTAAAATGACACTACAACACAAACTGCAACAAGGGTAGTGGAACAAACAGGGAATTGGAGAGCAGCAATTTCACTGCACTCACTCTGATTAGCTCCCTCCAAGACTCCCCAGGCCGGTTGGTCTGTTTGGCCTGAAAATGACAAAGCTTACCACTAACACAATATACAATACCCACCCCAGCCTTCTTCCAGGTAGAATAGAGCAGTATTTTGCAACAGAGCCTCTGGCAGCAACAGGGAACCTCTCCTCAAAGAGGAGCCCCGATCTCCCTTAGCTCCCTGCTTTTCATCCCTTTGGATCAAACAGATGACTTATGGGGTGACATCTCCTGACAGTACCCAAGTGAGAGTCTTTTCCCCTTCAGGCCTACAATCTTGGGTCTTGGAGGTTGGGTGATGGTGAAAGGCTCTGTCCTTGGGAGTAATTTAGCAGCCTTGTTGCCTAGTTTTCCTTGAATTGTCACCTGGCTGAGACAGTTGGGCCTTCATGCCCAAGGTTAATCCTTCCATTCCTGAGAAGTTCTAAGCCAATTCTCGGTAACAATGGCTTATATTCAGAGGCTAATATCTGTGTATATCAGATCAATACCCATTTATAAGATTGATTGATTGATTTTGATGTTGGCTTAATGGATGTGCCTCTTTAAATTGTATGGTTGAAACTCAACAACTTCTAAATAAGCAAATTAAGGTTGGTGCTAGGGGTGAGGATGGTGGGAAGATGATGGTGGCCTGTTTCTACATTGTTATAAATTAATTAAATACAATCTAACAAAAGAAAAGATAGGGAATAAATTGTAGCAGATAGATAGGGATCTAATGGAACAGCCTTTTAGAGAAAAAGAAAGATATCATTAATAATTTAAAAGTAGGGAAAGCTCCTGGAATAGATGGATTATGAACAGAGTATTATAAGGCTTTTAGAAAGTAATTGGTACCAAAATTAAAATCTCTTTTTAATGGTATACAGGAGGGAGGGAAGATACCAACTTCATGGAAATATTCCTCAACAGTTTTGATTCCAAAACCTAAAAAAGACTCAGCAGATCCCCAATAGATCAATATCCTTTATAAACCAAGAGGGTAAAATCTTTACAATAATATTTGCAAAGAGATTGATCAAATTGATTGATTTATAGTGTATAGTAGGAAGACACATCTGACTAGAAGAGTTTTAAATGTAATAGAAGTTATCAAGGCAGAGGATAAAAGCTGGTGTAATAGCATTTGATATCTTCAAAGCTTTTGATTGTATGGAATGGCCCACGATAAATATGTTGATAGACATATCAGGATTTGGAACGTAAGCCTCCCCGAGGCTTCGGCAAGGGGTAGCATAGAAATGTTATAATAATAATAATAATAATAATAATAATAATAATAATAATAATTTAAAGGTATAACAACAAACCAGTTGTGAAAATTTCACAGTTGTGATAGTTAAGGATCTAACAGAACAGATACTCTTAGGCTGAGGTACTAGACAAGGATGCCCTCTTTCTCCAATACTTTTTCCATTAGTTATAGTACTATTAGCAAATAATATAAGCAATGTTGTTACTATAAAAGACATTGGATGTAAGAATAAAATTAAGATTAATCTATTTCCTGGTGATACAAGGTTAACAATTAAAGATCCACCTAAAGTTATAGATCAGATTAAAACTCATTTAGTAGAATTTGGAGAGATAACCGATTTACAGGTTAATTGGGATAAATCTGAAATGTTGTTTAATTGCAAGAAAGAAAAAAAAAGAGGGAATTAAGACTAACTTTCAAATTGAAATATGTAAAATTATCAAATACCTAGGTATCAACTTTTCAACAAATGAATGAGATGGTGTAACATGGTATCCTGCAACAGCAGGGGGTTGGACTCGATGGCCTTCAAGTCCCCTTTGAACTCTACTATTCTATGAAATATCCAATGTTTAAAAATGAATAATTTTGATATACTGAAATCTGAAATAAAGGATAAAATGTACCAGTTCAAGGAAATAGAATTATAACGGTTTGGTAGAATAGCAGTATGTAAAATGAAAATCTTACCCAAGATTATTTTTTTATTATGAGGAAAAAAAATTGGATGATTGACAAAATTCAGTGGATTCATTTTGTAATGGAGATAAGAAAGTGAGGATAAGCAAGAAAAGATGGTATAAGTCACCAAAAAAATGGGAGGATTAGGTATTCCAAATATTAAATTATACATCTAGTGAAGTAAATATGACATATACCAGACATATTGCAGCCAGAAAAGATAACATGGGAAGAAACAGAGCAGCAACAACTTGAAGGATCCCTTCAAAAACCTTTTTAAAAACAGTATGACAAAGATAGAGAAACCCTTTATTAAAAATATGATGCCAATCTGAGATAAGTATAGATAAAAAGTTATGCTGACAATTTCACCAATAATTCTAATTACAAAAATTAAAGAATTTCCAGAAAGTTTGAGAGGTAGTTTAAGAAAAATATTAATGGAAAAACAAATTGTTAGGTTAAAAGATTGGTTAGAGAAAATGGACAATAAGAAAAGGATAAAGGTGTTACTAAGAAAAGAAAAACTAACTTGGTTTAATGTTATGCTACTACAGCAATGAACTAAGGAATGGGTGAAGAAAAATGGTACATGTAGAGATAGTACCACATTTGAAGAGATTGTTCTATATAGAGAGAAAAAAAGACATCATGCAAACAAGAGGGATGATAAATGAGATTTACAGGATTTTACTAGATATGGAAGAATGATATGATTTTCTCTAGGTTTCATGGGAAATGGACTTAAGGAGGGACATAGATGAGGAAAATGGGAAAAATATGGAATATGAGAATATTAAAAAACATGTCAATTAGAATTAAGGAAAAATATAAATTAATATGGAAATGGCACCTGACACCAGTAAAACTATACTATAATATACTATAATAAGTACTCCAATTTATGTTGGAGATGTGGTCAAAAATTGGGTACCTATTTTTGGGTGGTAGGAATGTGAAAATATTAGGAAATTTTGAATAATGTTTTTAAGGAAATCAGCAGTACCTGGATATTGAATTCAAATATTGAAGCAGAACTTGACATTGCAATAATGTCAATATTTTATGAAAAGAAATGGAATATCAGCAATTAATAACACATTCAGTTAACTGAAGCAAGATTAATAATAGCAAAGAATTGGAAGGAAAAATAGGATTTCCAAATAAGCAAATAGTATTTAGCTGTTAACAATAAATTAACATGTGGAATTAAGGTGAAAAGGGGCTGAGAAAGAAGAATGAGTTTAATGATATTGGGGGTTATTTACTGAACTTGCATTAATAAAAAGGAAAGGAAATATTAAACCTTTGTGTGACTTAATGCCATTTGGATGGAAGGGGGTAGTTCCAAAGAGGTGAAACATAGAAAAAGATGTCAAGAAGAAGTAATGAATCATTAACTGTTCTGGAGGTTAGGGTTATACCAGTTGTGTTTGTAGGCTGGTGGTAGAGTGCACCAGTTGTGTTTGTAGGCTGGTGGTAGAGTGCACCAGTTGTGTTTGTAGGCATTGTTGTAGATGATGATTTTTAAAAAACATAAATGAATTGATTACTTGCCTTCAAAAAATGATGAAGTTTTACAGTTTATAAAGTGAATGTCAAGACTTGTGAATTAAGCCTGCTTTCACAACAAGCCCTTACATTGTTTTGTTAATGACCTGCATCTGCCTGATGTTACACATTCTATGTGTTCAGTATTAAAATCTCTGCAGATATACTGGAAATTATGCTTGGATTCCCAGATTGGGGACAGGATAGAATTCCTATCAATGACTGTGTAGAAAGGCCAGCTTGAACAAGTGCAAATCTTTCACCACTGCACTGTAAAACAAACCACTCCCTCTTGTACTGAATGAAGCACAACTTTGTATGAAACTTGCAATTTTATGTCATACCCACCATTTTCTTGAGCAGGAGAAACCTAACCCAGATTTTAGGTAATAAAATATCCTGAACATATATATGTTTCTTGAGATTGCAATTAAAATATAAAATGGTTATTTTGGCATTATATCCTGTTACATTAGCAGTATTTACAGTGTATAAAATATTCAAGACAAAAACATTGCAGTGGCTCATGAAAATGGCACAGACAAACAACAGTTGCTATTTTGATGCCTCCACATTCTCCTGGAAAAAATCTAAAAATTATATAGATCAGTGAGAAGAGGCATTGAAACAACTGAAAGAAGCATCAGCAGTATCTGGTTAGGCTGATTCTGGCCCTGCAGGGTTCCCTTTTCCCCTGACTGCCAGTCATTTGATTTCCCACATGTGTGGAGATTTTTCTCATTCTAAAAGGTTGAAATGCCTCTTTATAGGCTTAATCGCTGGCAGGAAATACATGCTGGTAGTTTTGGTGTTTTGGCCTCATCCCCTTTGCATATAGCTCTGCCTGATTTTGTCTTCAGCCCTTTCCACAATTACAGTGTGGCCCATGAAAGCTACTCCAAAACTGAATTTGGCACTCAGACTGAAAGATCTTTAACACCTTTGCCACAGAGTCTAGGATTTGACTGTCAATGTTTGCTTCTTCAACATTGTTATTGCTTCATTTTGAATAAGCAAATGCATTTGTTTTTTCTACCCATAATCATGCCATCTCTCAAGAAAATGTGTCTGTTGTACAAGTATCAGCATTGGATCCTCACATATTTCATTGAAGACCACAGAAATAGACTATTGACACACCAAGGTAATAGTATTTGTAGAGATATATCCAATGGCATTTTAGAAAATTATCAAGTGTGCACATACCTTGAAATTCTGTATTTCACAGACCTGCCTTCTCCACTAGAACAAGAAGCAAAGGCCATTGTTAGAGAATACAAGAGAAAATGTGACCGACCGCCAGATCGTAGGAAAGCTTTCAACGATTTGTGGAAACAGATAAGCTTTCTTAGTGAGTTCAGACAAACCTTAAAGGCCAACAGCTTTATTATGTTCATTCTTTTGTACATATCCTGATTCCACTTCCTGAGCCCAGATCATAATAGTGGCCAGGTACGGATGTCACAACCAAATTGTAACTTGGACTTTAGGAATTATGTACCTCCATCTCTCCTCATGCTCCACTTCCCTTCTTAATTTCCTGGCTCACAGTTACCATTTTTGCCATGACATCCAAATGCAGGAAGCTACAGTTACAACTGAACAAATGTTGCCTGGAAACCAGAACTTGAAACCAGGGCTTCAAATTCTGGTAGACTTGATCATAGTTTTCCCCATCTGAACATTATTACAAACTATGCTTATCACAGACTATGAAGACAAGAAATAAATTGGAACATTTCAAGGGATGAACAAGGAGGGTCACACAATTTCAAACTATAGCCTTGAGGAATGTTTGTATGTATATGTATATATGGGTTGACTGTAATGCCTCAACCACTGCAATGTAAGAAAATGCTGTTCCATCCTATTTAAATGTTTGGACTTAATTAGCAAATCAAGTAAAGGCCTATCCAAACTAGCTGCCTTTGTTGTTACCAATTTGTAGGGTGCGGTTCATAAAATGTCTTACTCCACCCAAAGTTCAGGAGCTCTATTCCTGTGAAATTGCATTACCATGCACAATAATATTAAGTTAAGGACCATTTTATTGCTGTAAACATGTTTTGTGTACTGTGGTTTTGTCAGGGTTCACTGGCATCAGTTGGAAGCAGCCTGTAATAATATCACTGCTCTTAAGTATTACAAGTTCCTCCTACATCGACTTGCTCAGTTTTTGAAGGCCCTGAAAATTCAGTCAATTATTTCTCTTTTCTGTTGTTGGGCATTTTCTCCCATTTTGGATGCTGTTTTAACTTAGTTTTTCAATATTTGAGTTAACATCTTCTTTTACTACATTAAAATACATACACACACCCCACAGATTTCCTAAAACAAAACTAATCACGTTCTCTTCCCTTAGATAAAAATTGGGATATAGGTTCCTTGGTACTGGATTAAAACTAGTGATTATGTCAGGCTTATAGTAGCATTTAAAAAAATCCTGGAACAGGCCTGTATTGCATGCATGATTTTTTAAAAATTTTGTGATTTATAGATTTAATTCCGTTTAAATCCAGAAGCAGTTAGAGCAGTAGAAGTAGAATAGAAGCAACTTGTAAAAATTTATATATATTTAAATATGATATTCTTATTGATTAATGGAATGGCTTTATTTTTGGAGACTGATACATATAAGAAATGGCTTTTTAAAGCAAAATTGAGGTCTCTTATAGCTTGTGTTTGATGAGTATTTTTAAATCGCTATGTTTGAGAGACTTGTATATTCCAGAGGGGAAAATGACATGAAGCATAGCTATTCTATGTTTCCTTTATGTGAAGGGCAGAAGTATCCATATTGTGTGAAACCACCATTGTAACAATATTCTGCAAACATCTTAGGCAGATTTGGATCTGTATGCTAATCTAACACTTTCTGATTACATTTTAGACTCTCTATGAGTCTAAACACAAGTGTCTTAACATAATGTAACATAACATTGTAGATATTGTTCAAACTGTATATGCAAGTAAGTGATCAAAATAATATTCCTAAGAATTGATTCCTTTTTGCAAAAAAAAAAGAAAGAGGTAATTTGTGTTTTAATACACTGAAGTGCAGGATGAAAAGGTCAGCTTCACATATGGAAAGGACTGCATAGGCAGAGCAGACCCACCATTGAACTGAATAGGAAATCCACTGATGTATTAGCCACTGTAAGGACTGAGGGCATGATCTCTCTATTGCAGGCAAAAATACTCCGTGTGCCTTTTTTCATCAAAAAGCCCAGTTCAGAAATCAGTTGAATTTATTCTGATATAGCCACTAGGAGTAAGACAGCGTTGATCTTTTGTTTGAAAATGTGTGCTGCTCATAAAAAAAACCTACAGGTGATGTTTATTGTATGCCAGGGATACTCATACCAATTAGTGTCTCACTTAAATGATCAAATATAGAAATGAAAGAATGTAAAGTAAGAAACATATGAGCTATTCTTTGTATTTAGTCTAAGAAAAGTCTCTTTGAACACATGGAACATTTCTTTTGGAAGTTATAGACATTTGTGAAAACTGTGTTTGCCTTTTAATGTTTATGTGTCCATAAGTCATATAGTTGTTTGTGTAACATAAATTATCCATTAAATGTTCAGTAAATCTCTTACTTGATGCTTTTATGATTTTTTTACTGTGGTTCCTACAGCCTTCCCACACCTATGTGCAAGTTACGAAGGAATTTGGGTTGAGTTTTGGTTTAAGAAATGGGTTGATCCCTTCCTTCAGCACCGTTTCCTGCCCTTCAGAATAGCCATATGCAACTACAGTGGTACCACAGCTCACGAATGCCTTGGTTCACAAACAAATCGGGTCACGAACAAAAATTTCTGAAAAATTTTGACTTGGGTCGCAAACACCACTTACAGAACATCTGATCATTAATATACTAAAACCCCAATTGAAATCAATTAAACATTAAAATAATGGGAAGATAAAAATAAAATAACGGGTTTGCCTGATACTGAAAAGAATATGACAACAGCGCCAGGGGGAACCTCTCTGGGGAGCATATTCCATAGTCGGAGCACCACTGAAGAGAAAGCCCTCCTCCAGGTACACTCCCTCCTAATCTTCTTCAAGGAGGGCTCCTGGAGTAGGGCCTCCACCTCAGATCTCAAGGGGCAGGGTGACACATAGGAAAGAAGGTGTTCCTTCAGGTATCCTGGACCCAAGCCATTTAGGGCTTTATAGGTCATAACCAGCACCTTAAATTGGGCCCAGACTTCAATTGGTAGCTAGTGTAATTGGTAGAGGACCGGCATTATATGTGAAAACTGGCCAGTCCCTGTTACCATCCTGGCAGCTCTATTCTGAACCAATTGAAGTATCCGGACCAGCTGCCCTATGTAGAGTGTGTTACTGTAATCCAACCAGGAAGTTACCAGAGCATGAGTCACTATTGCCAGGCAATGCTCATCCAGGTAAGGACGCAGCTGGTGGATCAGCTGAAGGAAAGTGCTCCTCGCCACCGCTGCCACCTTCGACTCCAGGGACAGCTCTGGGTCAAGGAACACTCCCAAACTGTGAACCCTATCCTTTAGGGGGAGTGCAACCCCATCCAGGAAAGGGCCAAAATCACTTGCCTGGAAGGCTGAACTGCCAACCAGCAGGACCTCCATCTTACCTGGATTAAGTCTCAATTTATTGGCTCTCATCCAGTTCAGTACCTTGACCAGGCACCAGTTATGGACAGCCACTGCCTTACCTGGACTAGATGTAAAAGAGAGGTATAGCTGGGTTTCATCACCGTACTGATGACTCTGCATCCCAAACCTCTGGATGACCTTTCCCAGTGGTTTCATGTAGATGTTAAAAAGCATAGGGGACAAAATAGAACCCTGTGGAACTCCATGGCAAAGTTGCCATGGCACAGAGCCATAATCCCCCAGCACCACCTTCTGGAATCAGCCTGCCAAGTAGGAGTGGAACAACCACAAAGCAGTGCCTCCAACTCCCAGCTTGGCCAGCCTTTTCAGAAAGATACCATGGTCAATGGTATCAAAAGACGCAGAAAGGTCCAGGAGAACCAACAGGAATGAACTCCCCCGTCCCTCTCCCTGCACAGGTTATCATACAGTGCACCAAGTTCAAACCATAGCCGGGTCTGAAGCCAGACTGAAATGGGTCAAGATGATCAGTTTCTTCCAAGAGTGCCTGGAGTTGTCCCACCACCACCCGCTCAAGCACCTTGCCCAAAAACGGGATACTGGCCACCAGCCTATAGTTGGTGGCTATCTCTGGGTCTAGAGATGCCTTCTTCAGGACAGGCCTTATCACCACTTCTTTCAAAGGGGCAGGAGCCCGGCCCTCCCTCAGAGAGCCATTGATGACCTCCTGGACCCAGGTACATATCCCATTTTTGGCTTTGGTGAGCAGCCACGAGGGTCAAGGGTCAAGCAGACAGTTGGTGGGTCGGACCAATCCAAGCACCTTGTCCACATCCTCAGGCAACAACAATTGAAAGTCATCCAATAAAGGAGCACCAGACGGCGAACCCTAATAAAAAGCTCCACATCAATTAACTGCTCCTACATGTTTCTTGATCCTATCCACCCCCATTACTTTGACACACTACTAATTCCACCAATTAATAGTTTTAATGTGCAGTGCTATGGCCATAAGTCAGCATCTAGATCCCATGTCAGCTGTGACTCCAAGTTTTGTGAGCAAAACTCTGATGGAGTACAAGGAGACAGGCAGAGCCAGCATATGCAGTATCTTGTGAGTGCCTCAGTCTCTTGACCTTCCTGGGCAAAACATTTGGATGGCCAAAATCAGCCTCCTCTGTATTTTGCAAGATGGGAGAAGCATGGAGATGTCCTTTGCCTTGTTACTTCCATAAGATACCTGCAATTCCTTGAGTTTGGAAGCTCATGGTCAGCCTCACTGGATTGTGTCCTTTAATAAAACAGGAAGCATAAAGCATGAATCCTGTGAGCTGGTGTAATTCATCCATGTGCCAGAGTGAAGAGAACTGCAGTGTATTAATGTTTTATTTATTTATTTATTCATTTTATAAAATTTGTATGCCGTCCAATTACTTGCGTTTCTGGATGACTTACAACATAGGTAATTTGACAACCCACTTTGGCTGCAAGTTAATAAAATGCAACAATAAAATTCAATATTAAAACATACTAAAATATTGATTAAATAAAAAGGTCTTAACCTGGTGCCAAAAACATATAATGACTTTGTTTTATCATCATATTTTGGTCCCTGTGTCACTAATTTCCATTCACTTGAGGTTTTGGGTGGTGTTTTGTTCCTTGTAATCCTTCAGATGATGTTTGCACTGTAATATTGATAGGAGCGGAGGTTGAGAAAAGCAAGGCAGGCTTTCAAGTATAATGTCACATTGGTCTTTATGCTTAAATCTGGGGGTGCGGGGGAGAGAGATACAGACCAGGTCTTGTCTTCCCTTCACAACTGTTTCCATTGACAAGTATACAGTAACCTCTTCTTGATTTCAATAGAAATGGCTCCTGTTGAAAAGTTAAACTTGACAGACTTCATGAAATCCAGTTTGGATTTGTCTGATGGATGGCCTAATGAAGAGGAAATGATACGATTTCAGAAACTTAGGGATGAACTTATACAAGATGAAAGAGAAGAGTATCTGAATAACAAAATGGCAGCCAATGAATCCATGCCTCTACTTACAAGAACCAGGACTAACGAGCGCATCTCTCATAAATCCTCCATGGTTACAAACTGGTAATAACAGATATATGCCGCTTTCCTTGTTTTATTTTTATTATGATGGGTGGCAACTTACATTCTGATACATTAGAGTAGTGGTTTTCAACTTTTCCACAGTTGGAGACCGGCAAAAACAGGAAAACCATCTTAGGGACCACTAAGGCAGAAACAAAAAGCACCATACACATAATATAGTATTCTGTGTATTAGTTTCCAAAGACAATACCAAAAAAGAAAGAAAGAAAAGAAAATTCTCCCAGACAATGAGAAACCAAGCAACAAAAAATGCCAACAAAAGAACACAATACCAATATCGACACAGCATGGCTCCCAGCTGGTTCTCGTTGAGCTGTTTCTCCCCTCCCTGACCATCTGTCCCCAGCGGCACTGGCTTGTCCCCTGTGGACATGATGCCAACCTCCAAGGAAGAGGTAATAGAGTAGCAAGCTCTTGCTGGTCTGCAGCAAGCAGGATGTGCAGACTGGCAGGAAATCTCCCGCAGTCGGTAGACCAGTGGTTGAAAGCCACTACATTAGAGCATGGGTTCCCAGCCATTTTGGACTCATGGGTACATTTTGGAGTTTAAGGAACTGCTATGCACACCCATACTAAATGCCTGATCAAAGGATCACTGCTTTGGTGTCTGCTTGTTGCATCTGTGGATCTTAGGCTATTTTTTATTCAGCAAAAATCTTTGCTTTGTGTCTGATGGATACTGAAAACTCTTCAGTAAGGGATTTATCAAAGTCAACCTAACTGTTGGCAGTAAAATTCAGATGATCCCTTTAAACGTATGTTTGGCAATGTCCAGGAGTCACTTCTTTTGTGTATGTGTGTGTAGCGAGGGATTACATAGATACATTTTGTACATAAAAAGCAGTTAATATTCATTATGTACACACTCATTTACATTATTTAGCAGCTTCCTGGAAATTAACAGATGGAAGAGGGAAATTGATTCTTTGTGCTCTTTTGCTAAGTCTGATATTACAAAATTAGCAAGATAAACACCACCTCCAAAATGCAGTGGAGGACTTTATGATGCTTCTGATATGAATGAGTGACATACAGAAGCCAACTTCAAATGAATACTTATTTGGATATTTTTCCTTTCAAGGAACTCAAGGCAGCTCACATAATTCTCCTCCTCCTCTCAGTCCTCCACTGAGTCCATGACTGAGTGGGGACTAGAATCCAGTCTTGAGTCCCAGTCTCACATCTCCACCACACTGGCTCTCTACACCACTTCAACACTGAGTTAATTTTGAGTTGTTTAACCCCTAAACGACCCATACTGGCTGAGTTCAGATAGCATGGTCACAACCTCAGAACATGACAATTACAGGGTATTTACTGAAAGCAGAAGTGGGGAACATGCCAGAGGCACTGTGCTCCCTCCCTCCCACTTACCTATGACAATTTGTGGTTTAAATAGCCCACAAATTGGCATTACATGTGAACCAACTCTTAGCCACAATTAACTTTAGCTGAAATGAGAAATATTTTCCTCCATGAGGTAGTCTGTTTTTGTTCTTACTGAAAATCTGATACAATAAAGCCCTTAAAACATATTTATTTTCAACTGGAAAGTTATACTCAAATCAATGCGATTATTTCAGTGTTTTTGTTGCATATCTAGCTTGCTCGTATTTGACCGAAATCACATCAAGGTACTAACAATTTCTATTTTTCTGGAAAATTTGAAAGAAAAAAATCATAACCAAACATAAGTAGCCCTCTGAATAACGCTGAGATCAATATGAGGAATGCCACTAAACTTTAATGTCAAATTGATGGTTCTGTGTGAAGTACCAGGCATTCTGAACTGAGCAGCCAGTTCCTATCTTTTGAAGTTGGAAGATACTGAAAAGCAGGACAGATATTTAATACATCTAAGACCCTTTCTTTCCATCATTGCTGCCAAATCCTTGTTATCCTTAGCCTTTAATGCAAGAATTAATTACTTTTACCAACACATTTATTTCAAAAGGGGCAAGAAGAGTCTGTTTCCTGCAGCTTCATCCTATGATCTGGTCATTCAGAGTAAGAGAACTGAAGAGTATAGACTGGCAGCACTAAAGGATATGAAGATGAAGCAAGCTTTGATTGAACAGCAGAGAAAGCAAGTATTATTAGCATTAATATTAGTATTAGTAGTGTTATTGGTATTATTACTACCACTACAGAGTGAACTCGTGGTGGAGCTGTTGCAGTATTTCAACACTGTCATGCCCACCTGCCACTGCAGTGACTGAATGGCTGTTTGATAGAAAAATATGCAACCTTTTTAGATTGGACTACAGATAGGAATACATTGATGCTTTGCACTGATTCTAAATCAGAGCTTGTGTTGACATGACTCCCAAAAGACCTACATGTGTCAAGTGCGAATCTATGACTTTAAAGCAATGGGGAAGAGCATAGTGTGCAGGACAGAAATATAGCAAGTGGAAACTGGCACATCTGCTGTTTCCTCCAATACCCAGGCATTTTTCTCCAAAATGGTCCAAGCCTGGGAATGAATCTAGTGGAGCGGGGCTGTTACATAGAGCTAGGTAAAGCCTCTACAGCAAAGCAGGGTTCCTGACTGCAGGGGGTGGGGAAGGACAGTCTCTGACCAAAATGCCATCTCAAGCAGCTTCAGCCAGCATTCCAAATAGAGAATGGATGGATGTCAGTAGGTGTGGTGCTGCCCATGGAACATAATTGGTGCATCTTAAGTTCCTGGCCATTAAGTTAAGAGGATCTGGAGATTTTCTACCTTAGAGATTTTCTGCCAGTCGAGGAAGACTCTAAGCCTGATTTGATCAGTATGAGCTACTTGCACATGATACTATTTTTCTTGGTTCAGCATTAGCTGACAAAATGTATTTTAACTGTTAAAAAGAGTTTAATGATTACAGGAGTAGGAGCAGTAATAATATACAACCAATACCAGGGCAAAGTCAAGAACCTTGTTATGTGGAAGATGGATTTCAGCTGCTGCCACTGACCATTTTATATTGAATAGACAAAAATCACAAGCGATGTCCTTTAAATGATGACAATTATAAGCTCACACTTGTGTTACATGTCAAAGCTTTTCAATTTCATCATTGAGTTTATATAACATATAACCTAGTTTTTAGTACCACTTCTGTGTAATATTTACTTTGTATCCACATTATTCTGGGGACTGTAAACATCTGATCTAAACTGACTGGTGACTTAACCTACGCATGTCTAATAAGATGTAAGTCCCTCTAAATTGATGGGTTTCACTTAATCTAGTTTAGTAAGTAGTTTTAGGATGGCAGCCTATATGTACTTACTCAGAAGTAAATCATATTGTGCTTAATGGTGGTTAGTCTCAAGTCAGTTACTTGGGAGTTAGTGCTATTGAACTCCCTTCTGACTTACCCCTGAGTTGATCTGTATAGGATTGTGTTGTGAATCTCTTGCCAGGTCTTTAGTCCCTAAGTAGCCTTGTGCAAGCAAGATTAAAACATCAAATATTTTGAATACCAAAGGATCCCAGTTAATAGCTATGTGTTTTTTAAAAAGTCACAGCTAGCCTGATCCTGTCCTCAGCTGCAGTGCAAGCAAAGTTTGTGTTATAAACACCAAAGATGCCATCTTGCTTCTCATAAGCCTCAGGTGCTTTGCCACGTGGCACACATGCTAACACTAGGGGTTGTACAGATACATGCTAGCATGAGGGGTTCTGGCCACACCAAAACATTTAGAAAAGGCTGGGAGTGGCATAAGCATTCCTACTACTTTACATAGCTCCCCTTTGCATAGCCTTTGGAGCACTGCTCCTACATTATATAGCCTTCTCCCCTGTTTCGCTTATTCTAATTTTATTTATTTCATAACTCACATTTCTACCAAAACATGGCAAGCTGGCTTACAAAGCCAATGAAAAACATAATAAAAACATAACAATTGTAGAATTAAAAACAGCACCTAACCCACAGACCCACTAACAGGTCTTCCTGTATATCACAATCTGCCTGACATTAAAGTAGATAGGGGAAGTATCGCAGATAGTGAGTAAACATAGCTGGCTTGAGCAGGGAGTTCCACAACCTGGAGGCAATCACCAAAAAGACTATGTCTCATGTCATGAATTGATGCACCTCTGATTGCAGTCTCAAAAGAAGGACCAGGGTAACTATTATGAGGGACAAAATGCATAATTGCACAACTACTGAGCAGATGGGAATTTCTGCTTTTTTCCAATTAGATTCCTAGGAGTCAAACCAAATGTAATTAAGACCCCTCACTGTTTTTGTTTTGCTCAATACAATCCCATATTACTGCTTAAAAGAGCAAGGAAAAGGTGCTTCCTCCATCCAAGCTGCTAATAATCCATAGGGATGGAGAGGCAAGTGAAGATGATATTCTTCTCTTTTCTCCCATCTGCTCCCCAGCAATTTTGGAAGGATGGTTCCCATGACAAAGTGATGATAGTATATCCTCAGACAGGGACAACTAGGAAAAAAGCTAAAGAGCTCCATACACATCTAACAGTGCCAAGAGATATTTGACCAACTATCAAGAAAGTTATTTAGATATATTTTTTTAAATGAGTGGCACTGTGAGTGGTGTATCACGAAGTATGATCACTTTTATTTAGTTGTAAGTGGACATCACTCTTTGATATGAGGTCCATAACTATCAATATAAACAAACTGAATTTGGTAACTGTGCCCAAAACAAATTTTTAGCATGACTTTTACATTTTAGTGCTTGTATGGCACATACATATTGCTGCTAATAGCTACCATTTGATTTACCAGGAAAGTGTTAGCAACATATGGTAGTGTTCCATTTATACAATGTTTTCAAATATTTGATTATTTTTTATTTTAATTTTTAGAGATAAAGAAGTGCTTCAGAAATGGAGAAAACAGACTAAGATGATGAAAGAAAAGAAAGATATATTGTATACATTTATACCTGACAAAGGAGACATGGTGGTATGTAGCAGCAGATGGTGTTGTCATGCACAGACTTGGAATTTCTGCTTATCTATGATATGGATATAACCTTTCACCAAGATTCTGTATGTTTCTGTGTAACTGCTTCCCGTGACTCTTGGCTCCTTATTACTGTGCCAATCTTTCTGAGGACCCATCCTAAGAAAATAGTTGAACTGCTGGGGAATATACAGGTCTGTACTCTACACCATATTATCATTGCCTGTGGAATAAATCATCTCTATGAAACTCCAAAAAGGGCAATTAAAAAATGTGATTCGCATTACTTAATGTGGACATGCTGTTTAACAGAGCAGAATTTAATGGATCTGTCCTCGGAACATTTCATTATGATTGGGGCACAAATTACATGATCATATCCTTTCCTCAGCATTTCTTTCCTTCATAGGCCAGTCCTTTGCTATCATCCAACAAAGAACATTTTAACAGTATGAGCATAGGATTCAAGGGCTAGATTATCAATCAGTCTGCTTCAAGTTAATCCTGATAGGAGAACTTCTCTTCAGTGAGTAGTTTGTCTCAAATTACTGCTGCTCAAATTACTGCTGCTCACTCTTAGCCTTTCAGAGGAAGCAGGTGGAAAAGTAAGTAAATGCTTATAACTAGCTTTTCATGCTGGAGTAGTGAAGGCCAATGTGTGCTGTAGGTGTTGATACATCCACACACATTGTGTCTGTCCAAGCTATTTGGAACCATTAAAACAGAAGGGCCTTTGTTTAAAATAGTATTGTTGAAATTCATAGATGTCTCCTGAGGTTTTGCCTCTGCTAAACTGAAGTTGATGGAGTCTGGATGTTAAAAAGAATCCAGAAGAGAGAAACATCTGTCATCAATGGTTTGTACAGAGAAAGGAGACCTTTCTAGGACAAGTAGATCTAGAAAGGAATTCTTGTTGAATATGAGATATGAACAAGAGAGCAGATATGAACAGGTTAGCAATTTTACACCAGAGGACATAAAGAATCCTCAACCTGTTAGGACTCAACATATTGCAGTGCTCACACTGATGCCAATAGCTACCTTCTTCCTTTTCCTACAGGTTGCCCAATCTATCCCTTTTCAGTAGTGATGTACAAATCAATAGGTTTAACTTGCACAGTTCTAATGAGGCAATCATTGATACATGGTTGGCCCAGATAAAAACCCTCTTTTCTAGAAATCAGCATGTGTGCATCCTTGAAATGTAGCTGACCCTGCCAGGCACCAGTCCGGAGAAAGCTAGTTGGCACTTGACAGATAACAGCAGCTCAAAGGGCAATTCACACCAGCTCACCTCTTCTTCTATGTAATAGCACCCCATCCTCCCTCCCCACTTCTTTGGAGCATCTTCTTGGGTATGCAAGTGGTAAACATCATGCCATTGTAAATTTTTTACTTCTGTAACCTATTGGAAAGTTAACTATGTTATGTGTAACCCTCCAATGAGCACTGTCTAAAAGGGCCAAGTGAGGACTGCTCAGGTGCACCATCTGGAATGATTTGTTTGTAGCAGACTATTCTCAAGAATAAATCTTTTAAAGGAAAACTTCCCCCTGCTGTGTATTTTGGGCACAACAGGACACAGACCATTTGGTTAACAGTAGAAATAGCCTTTTTGACAGAAAGGACAAAGATAATTAAGGCAAGCATTTTGTCTGTATTCTTTTAGGACCACCTTTGCTTATTTGCTCATTCTGTTTACTTATACTCCAAGCTTGGCTCTCAAATTAGCATACATTTTTTTAAATGCTTATTTCCCTACACACATACCCACAGAAACACACAAACAATCTCCAATCCCTTTTTAGTTCTAACACATTTGTGGTATAATATATGAAACACAAGAGGGCATTGGAGCACCGTATATTCAGCAGCAATAAGCTGCTGCTGGCTTGGTTGTCAGTCAGCATAGGGTTGACCAAATGGTCTCTGTCCTGGTGTGCATATGCCCAATATGCACAACAGGGGGAGGTTTTCTTTAAAAGGATTTATTCTCGAGAATAAGCAATTACCAATGAATTGTTCCAGATAGCGCACCACAGCAGACTTCAGTTGGCCCTTTTATATATAGATCATTAAAAGGTTTCATGTAACAGAGTTAACACTTTCCAATAGGTTACAGAAGTAAAAAAGTTACAATGGTATGATCTTTCCCACTTGCATACCAAAGAAGATGCTCCAGGGGAGTGAGGAAGATGGGGTGTTATTACCTAGAAGAGGAGGATGGACTGGTGTGAATTGCCCTTTGTTGGAGCTGCTGTTATCTGTCAAGTATCAACTAGCTTTCTCTAGACCACTGCCTGATCAGTGCCAGCTACATTTTAAGGATGCACACATGATGATTTCTAGAAAGAGAACTTTTCTCTGGCATGGTTGTGTGACAATGATTGCATGATTTAACCAATGAAAGTTCTTCCTATTGTTTCACACATCAATAGGATACAAAACATCATGGAAGTCATGTAGGAACAAATACGCCCATGCTTTCTTTACTTTTTCATTACTTTGATCACTGCACAGCCTCAGTAATGATTTTGTGGTAGAAGATGTGGCATGTAACAGTTTCTTACCTGGCCTGGGAGAAGGTGTTACTTGTTGTGTCACTGTTAATTCTTCTAGGCTAAATAGCAGGTTGATTAACATAGATAATGACTTGCTTTCTCAGAATGTTCCAGTTTCATGTATCTTGGTGTAGGGGGCAAGGAGGAAGATACTTAAACCATTCAAATGATGTTGTTTATATAGAATCATATGTTGTATGTTATATTCTTTTTTATTATTCCCTCTTAGCAAATCAGGGGAGGACTAAAGCTGAGAAACAGCAACTCAGCAACTCATTAATTCTGATGGGGGGGACATGAAACTGCACCCCTTTCCTGCCCTTTCAGTCACATTACTTGCTGGTCCTTCCCCACACTCCCCAACATCCACAGATATCTCAAGAAGGGAAAGGCCATGGACATGATGGGTTCCATGAGAGCTGAAACTCTAAGGCACAATGACCCAATTCTTATGTACAGTTCAAGCCCACAATTGGGTTGTGGTATGTGCCAGTGGCCATTTTCAATATTCAGCCCCTGGAAGAGGCTATCAGGGTTGTTTCTGGTCAAACAACCCAGAAATAAAATTGCATCAGACCATGTGGTATTTGAGTGATACTTAATGTACAGTTCCTGTTGCCTGAGTTTGGACAACACAACAAATCATGACAACCAACTGCTACAATTTGGTCAACAGGAGGCAGGAATGGAAAACTGCATGACCTTGGGGGCTGAACCAGTGGTGTGGTCCTACTGCCCCCTTCACAAGAGTAATGCTGGAAGTGGGGCAGTGATTTTTCTAAGGCCTCCTAATAAATCCACTATGACTCATGGTGGATTTGAACCAAGGACTTCCCAGCTCACCCTCCAGGGCTACGATGACAGGCAGATATATATATAGAGAGAGAGACTTGCTACTGTATCTCAGTATTTTCTTACATAGCAGATCCAAGATTAGTCCAGTAGAGGGCTGTGTGATGCTGGTGATCTTGTATGTTTATTCAGTACACAGCAAGATTGTGCTCTGGGCAAGTTCATAACATCCATGTCTGGCATCAGAATCAAATCCTGACAAGTCCCAACAGCTGTCTGCTTACATGCACACTGGCTTCAAACAATATATCAGAGAGAAAGATGGTTCATTATAACATCAAAACAAGTAGTTCCATAATATTGGAAGAATACGTAAAGACAGATAATGCTTGAGAGAACCATGTGGCCTGGAATGACTAATGTTTCTACTTGCCATTGGTGGGGTTCACAGGCTGAAGTGTTCAACATGGGTTGAAAATACAGGAGTCAAATTCACCTTAGGTTTCTTGGAATTAAGTTGTATGTTCCAGCTGTGTATATCTAGAGTAGATTAGACACACACAATGTTTCCATGCCCAATTTAAGGTGATTATCTTAACCTTTTACACATTTTAAATGGTTTGAGTTAAAGATATTTGAAAGGCTACCTTCTCTTGTATCAGCTTACCCACATTTTGAAGTCAACAGCAGCAAACATTCTAACCTGCCCACCAGCACAGGGGCAGGCTTGTAAAGACCAAGAAGAGACCCTTCTCAGCAGTGGCTCCATAGCTCTGGAATTAGCTTCCACTGAGAGTTTGTCAGGCCCCTTCTTTGGAGGTCTTCAGGAAGGCTCTGAAAACCAACTAGTTTTCTCTGGCTTTTCACAATCTGTGGGTGGCAGATTTTAGTGGTCTTATCTGTTTTGATAGTGTCTTTATAGTATTTTCTATCAGTTTTTGTATTTTTTGTATTATTCTATCTTGAATGCTGCATTGAGAGGCTACAATTCTACCATTAAAGACAACCCAAGAATCATTTAAAACAAATCAATAGCATTACTTTGATCTGATATTGGAAAATTGACTCTTATAACTAATGAGATAGAAATGCTATTGTTTTACTAATGCGAAGGAAGGGAGAGTTGCCCTAAAAAGATTTCAGTTCTGTTTTCAGGAAAGATGCATCTGTGTTCTAGTGATACTCTTTTTAAAACAGTACAAAAAGTTTAGTCACAGAAAGCACAGAAAAACATTATCAATGACCTGGAGGAGGGGGTAACCAGTCTGCTGACCAAATTCACAGATGATACCAAAGTGGGGGTGGTGGCCACAATGGAAGAGCAGGCATGCCAGATGCAAAAGGATCTGGATAGACTGTGGAAGTGGACAGGGGACAACAGGATGGTGTTCAATACACAGAAGTGCAATGTATCGCACTTGGGAATTAGGAATAAGTGCCATAGGTACAGGATAGGGGAGAAGTGGCTGGAGAGTGGCATCTGTGAAAGGGATTTCAGGGTGCTTGTTGATGGCAAGGTAAACATGAGCCAGCAGTGTGATGTGGCAGTTAAGAGGGCAAACACCACCCTTGAATGTATAGCCAGAGGCATGGCCTCCAGACAGATTGTTCCTGGTGCCACTCTATAAGATTATGTGCACCCACAGC